TTTCGCCAAAATTACGTGAAAACGGATCATTATTAGTAGATGGGAATGCCACATCCGACCGTGTGCACCGTTGATCGAAAGTCGAAATCTGATCGGAAAACTGAGTATTTTCACCCATGAAGCCGCCACTGTGAAGTCTTGAACCAAAGGAGCTGGTTTGAGAAGGAATTGCATTGGGCCTTTCAACGATCTCCGGAAGTTGAACTCTTAGAGGCACTTTAAGTTCTGAAGCTACAGAGCCATTCAAATTAAGCGTAGCTAGACCATCGGTAAGTGTATTTGACAGGACGTTATTGGTGCGAAGAGCAGGAATACAACTAATTCCTTGACTTTGATTAATGAGCATCACGCCCATTTCCCTAGTAACAGGGTTACCGAGGAAACAGACGACCCGAGTATTATCCCTGTTAGTTGCTCCACTGAGTTTTTGCATAAGCGTTTCACAGCTACAGGAGAAAAAATTAGTAAAACAAAGATAACATACCTTCTCTTCTCCTCATATATGATCATAATATTTCTGCAATGGTTTTGAAAGGCAGCGCTGCGAAGCCTTTCATAAGTCTCAGGAGTGATTTCAATTCCGCAACAGCTCCGTGGGTGAAGTATTTGCGAGATGTCTTGAACTGAAATTTCCTTGAATTGCAAAACATTGCCGTACTCACGGCAATTTTTCTAAAAATAGAATGTGATATAAATTAAATGGTAAGATTATACCATAATATCGTGATCACTTGTGGCCAAGGGTACACCGAATATGTAAAACTCCCAGCCAATAATATTTTCACTAGGCGACTTATTATTATTACGATTATTTGCAGCACTTCTGCGCCCTCCAGAGCAGGCATAAGCAACGCGCAACCTTTTCCCCTCTATTTCATATCCATGAAATGTATTGATAGCCTTCTGGGCATTTTCAGGTTCAATATAGTCGACAAAGCCATAGCAAAGACTGGCTCCAGTTACCTAATGATCTAGTGAAAAATAAAGATGTTAACATACCCTATCCCTGATTAGTTTGCATTGTCTTATTGAACCTATCTGTTCGAAAAGGCTATGCAGATCATGCTGGTCGAACCGCTGAGGCAAGTAATTGATGATGAGATTTGTTCTTGAGCGATCCTCGTTGTTGACTAAGCTTGGGACAGATTGTGAGGAATTTAAATGCAGTCCACTATTTCCATTAAATGTGACGTATTGAGAATTATTATCAGAGGATGTATGGAACAAGCCACCACTCGAATTAGAGTTACCAGCCCACATTCTAGGGCACGCGAGGAGAATATTTGAAAATGCGCTGCGGCGGCACTGTATCTTTAAAATAGCAAAACAATGCAAACAAAGAAAATATATGTTATGTCAATATTCATAATTAGTGTAAATTCAAATATTTCTCACTATCCATATTTTTTAAAATCAATTCCTTTTGCCTGATTTTTTAATTATATTTTAAAGTTGTAATTATTTTTCGTTTTAACGATTTAAAATTTTCTACCAATATTTATGTATTATAGAGTTTCAGTTTTATTATTTATGCTCCAAAATTATTTGTCAGACATCTTACAGACAGATCAGTGACTGTATTAAGGAGCATACTTTCATATGCAATAATTTATTTTTAGAAGTGTCTGCTTATATGAATTATGTGAAATATTATTTACCATAAGATCTTTCAAAGCAATCAATATGAATACTTTATTCAATTTTTTATAAATAATACCCACTTTTACTGTGATAATTCAACCGCTTTATTAAATTAATGAACTTATAGTCATTGATCAATCGTATTTCTTTATGCAAAAAGATAAGTCCTACTTAATTTGATAGGCGACGATTCATTGAAATTCCTTGTTTTGTTCGTCAGTAGTAACGTGTTTTATCTTAGACAAAATGCTTGGGAAAGTGGATTGTTTTTTTAAATGAGCACTTTCATCTGATCTTTAAATCAAATATTTTAGTGCTAGATTTCATTCTAATAAAGGGATAATTCAGAATTATTTTCACGTATACCTTGACTAGCATTAGGATGCCGAAATTAACTTGGTCTAAGTTGATTATTTGGTTAAAATCATTTTCAGTCAGTTTTCATAATTTAAGTAAATAAGGACCTTTATATAATCCTAAACGGGGTGTGCGATAGATTTACCTCCACGTGGTGCACCCTGGGCAACGTATACTCATACGGCAAAAAAGTCTATTAACCGGCAGTTGACTTCTGACTTCAAGCTACCATAGTCCGATTGCTTGTCATATTCAACCCCTTCAACAGCACTCATCTTGCCTTTATCTCTACCTTTGTGTCTGTCTGCCTCTTTTACTTTTGTAAATCACTCTTCTGCTCCCCTTCTTCGACTTTCTGATACTTTGATGACCCTTCCCTCTGAGAAGCCCAAAGTCAACTAAAGGGATAATGATAGCTATCAAAACGCCTGCCATTTGATATAAAGAAATAAATAAATATTTTATATTCCTTACAGGTAAATTATGTTATGTATGTCATATTCCACCACTTCTCCAGTACTCATCTTACCTTTTCTTTGCCTGTGTGTCTGTCTGTCTCTTTTATATCCTTGAATCACTTTTCTACTTCCCATCTAGGCTTTTTGTCACTTTGATGCTCCTCCTCTCCTCTTTGAAGCCCGAAGTCAGCTAAAGGGTTAATGATAACTATCAAAACAGCTGCCACTATTCTTCTGACTTCAGTAAATTGTAAATTGAACAAAGAGATCCAATCAAAACTACTTTCCCAGGCATTTCTTGGTCATTGCTTTGATTCCCCTCTAGCATAAATGACCTCGTCAACCGGTTAACTAACCATTCCAAATTCTGGTTTTTCTTTGGTCTAACCACTCATAAATCGAGCTAATGACATTAAAACAGAATTCAGATCACATGAAAGCAATAAAATACCCTGTAAATAACCAGAAAACATTTGAGAGATTTGCACGACTGAAGGTTTAAACTAGGAAGAATCTTAAGTAAACCGTGACCAAGCGCCTTATATATACGCACTTAAGTGCAGTATTTATCAGTTGAAATTATAACATTCTTGATTAGTTCAGACGTATTTTATTGCCTTTCACAAGCAGGTAAAAAAGTTCAAGGATTGACGTTTTTATGGGCATGAACCCATCTTTATTTAAACTGTAAAGACTTTGGTAAATAATATATAGCAAGATAGTGGGAAAAAATGTTTTACAAATGAAATGAAATATATCTCAAATCTCAATTTGTAATAATTACATTAGCCAATGATTTTTAAGAGTGCAAAGTACAACTTACAGCTGCTTAATTAGAAGCCGACTGACGACTCTAAATTGACAAAGAAAAAGGGGAAGAATTTCCCATACAGGCATTCTTTTTCCACATTTAAGTACTTATCGAGTCGGTACTTTATTTTACTGAGGCAGGAAAAATTAACTCCGGGGCTAGAATGGAAATTACCACCCACTCGAAATTCACCATTTTCCACGCTAACGGAATTTGCCACCTTAAAATGTCTATGAACAATTAATCAGTTTAACTCAAAATTAATCTTCTAACGAATAAACCACAACCCTAACCCTATCAGAATCTAATTACATTGCTTGTTTAATTGAACCTCAGAAGTTCTTTAGTAAAAAAAAGAATAATAAATTAACAGAGCTATGCTAAAAAATAATTTCTCTTTGATAAAGTAAGATTAAATCAAGTGCAATATTCTCAAAGTCTCAAGCAATATATTTCCTATTGGAAGGAAACTATAAAAGTTAATCTTTTACTTTTAACTAAACAAAAATTGGAAACCTATTGTTAAAAGCCATTTGACTACATGGTTCCAGTAAAACAACATAACAGAATCTCCCAAATAGTACTTGTTTAAAAAATTAAGCTTCTGAACGCAGACACGCATCAGTAATAAGTTACAAACGGATTCGAGAGAACATTATTAACGTGGATCGCTATTTGTTATTTTAAAACTGTTATTTAGATCGATTATCCATCCTTAATTAAGTTCTGATTAGTGCTATGAAAGAAGTTTCCGATAAAGAGAGTTGCCCAAATTTAGGATAAATATTTTCAAACAGGTAATAATATCGTCAAATGTCAAAAGATTCGAAACAAACAGCTAAATATATTACAGCAGACGTGTGATCTTGATACGAATATCAGATGATGAATTTGGAAAATGGAATAACGATTAATTTTGTAATTTAAACATCAATTAGACGACGAATTGCGTTTCACGTTGTTAATTTCTGCAACAATGATTAGGTAACAAATTATTGTCATTAGTTTTCATTAGCGTTATGATTTAAATAATTTAAATGCTTTGACAGTTTGGGAAAAGAAATAGGTAGAATTAGAAAGTACAAATAAAATAAGAAGCAATTTGATTCGTACAAA